GGCGCAACCACGTGGTGATCAAGGTGGGCATGGTGGGCGATGCGCAGATTGGCAAGACCAGCCTCATGGTCAAGTACGTGGAGGGCAGCTGGGACGAGGACTACATCCAGACGCTGGGCGTCAACTTCATGGAGAAGACCATCAGCATCCGCAATACCGAGATCACCTTCAGCATCTGGGATCTGGGCGGCCAGCGCGAGTTCGTCAACATGCTGCCGCTGGTGTGCAACGACGCCGTCGCCATCCTCTTCATGTTCGACCTGACGCGCAAGAGCACGTTGAACAGCATCAAGGAGTGGTACCGCCAAGGGCGCGGATTCAACAAGACGGCCATCCCCGTATTGGTGGGGACAAAGTACGACCACTTTGTGAACCTGTCACGCGAGGAACAGGAGGAGATCTCAAACCAGGTATGACGGCAACCCGTCCCTCCCCGTGTCTGCTGCCGTCTTTGTGGCCGTCACCTGGACCTCGTGGGACTGACAAAGCCCCCTCTCAACAGGCTCGCCGCTTCGCAAAGGCGATGCGGGCGGCACTGATCTTCAGTAGCACCAGCCACAGCATCAACGTCCAGAAGGTATGCTCGAGTCCTTTTTTCTGCTTATTTATAATCTGTTGATCTTTTGCGGTCGTATCGGATCTAACCTGCTCGTTTTGTGTTGGACGGATAGATTTTCAAAATTGTGCTGTCGAAAGCCTTCGACTTGAAATGCACAATTCCCGAAATCAGTAATGTCGGCGAGCCGCTGCTACTATATCAGTCGTGCTGAAGCGGGGAGTTTTGAGTGTCGGCTTTTTGCTTTTGACGGTGGTTGTCCCTCGCGGCAACCTCGCAATCGCCCCTCCTCACCTATATAACCCCGTCCCACCCCAAAAAACAAGACTTCGAAACCCAAGTAGTGGGCCACACAGTACTGAGGGTTCGCCGGCAAAGTATTGACAGCGGCACTTTGGTGGCAGCATCATGAATAATGTAACTGCTCAAGCCACGTGAGAGAGTCAAAGGGCGTGCGCTGTGAGTGAGTGAGCGAGCGAGTGAGTACGAGAGAGGGGGAGGGACAGGGGAAGAGAGAAAGGGAAAGGGGCCCGATTTTTTGATCCAAAATTGGCAATCCATTTACCGGGCTAGATTTTTTTTCTCCTCTTGCCCATACGACGTGGCTCTAGAAAACAGTCACCATCAACCACACACGCACACACACCTACCTATCTGGGTCCTCGTCACCCAACGCAACCCAACCCCCCCTTTACCGAAAAAGGGGGCTCTAAACTAAATACATCACACAGGCACACACAAAGAATTGTCCTCTCCTTTCCATCTCTCTCTGTTCTTGTTTGTGTCTGTGTGTGTGTGTGTGTGTGTGTGTTTTGTCTTTTCTTTGTCACTTAAGCAGCTTTTGGCGGGCATCTCGGGAATTTCTCCTTTTGTTTTTGTTTTTGTTTTTGCCGCCCTTTTTCCTGTCTTATTATAGCTGGCAAAGAAACTAGGGGGGTTAGGGGACACGGTTGGCAGGTGGGAGGGTGGGTGGAAGGAAGGAAGCGAATTAAATCACTTTGGGAACGCTTGCATTTGTGGGCACAATATATTCCTCTCTATTTTTCTCTTTGTCTGTCTTTTGTCCCTTTTTTTTTTCTTGCTGTTGTTTTGCTTTGCTCCTTCCCCTCTCCATTTTTCGGGACGCATATTTGTGCTCCCTCTGCCCTTAACTCTTGCCACTCCTCCGCACGCTGGCCTAGGGAGGATATAGTTCGTAGCCAGGGAAAAGATGTGCGATGGATGCGAGAGCCACAGGGGAGGGAATCGAGGGCAGGAAACGGGGTTGGGAAGATCTCTCTGTCTCTGTCTCTCTCTTTGTGTGCGCGTGTTGCTGTCAGCATGCGTTGAGTTTGTGGTTTCTGGTCTTGTTTTGGTTGTTCTGGAGCGCGCAAGTGGCGAAACTAACCCTCTGGAAGGAAGAGGACCCGCCATGTTTTTGTCTCTCTATACCTCTGTACTGCATGCCGTTTTTATTTTTTATTTTTTATTTTTATTTGTAATAAACTATCACCCGAAGAAAGAAAATTAACTGTACCCGCTGGCTTGTTTGGTTCGTGGCTTGCTTCAAAGACAGTATTTGCTCTGTGGAAGACAGAGAGAGACGCTTGGAGGTGAGGTTTAATATTCTATTACTGGACTGGGATCTAGCTGCCTACCTACTGACGGTAACTAATCTGGTGGACAGATAGACAAGCACGCATGGCCCTTTTTCTCAGGGGGTGGCAAAACGAGTGGACGTGAAGATATTGCTAAAAGGCGGGCTGGAGAGTTATTTGGCTCAAAGGAACGGCTAGCCCCCTTTTCTCTGTTTTCTTCAAACATTGACTGAAAGAGAACAAACATCCCATCATGCTTCAGTTAGATTCTTTTTTACTTCTCTCCCTGGTCAGCCCCTCAAAAACCTGGTCCTTTTCTTCTTTCTTTTTGTCGCACAGGGGGGCTGACTTTCTTGTCAGACAGACACAAAAAAGCCCCCTTTACGAGCACGGAACGTCGCACCGGCCAATGTGGTCGGCCAGGGGGTTGAGGCACTGGCCGCCGCACGAGCAGAGCAGCTCGAGGCGGTTGCCGACGGTGGCCGTGGCGGCCGAGCACGAGCCGTCGCCGTTGGCCAGCACGCCGCCGACGGCCGACGCCGACGACGACACGGGCACCAGCGGTGACACGGGCGACACGCCCCACGACGCCGACGCCGTGACCGTGGACGTCACCGCCGCCGCCGCCGCCGCTACCGACGACGACAGCGATACCGGCAGCCCGTCGCCGCCGATGATGACCGTGGTGGTGATCTGCCGCCCCTTGATCCGCTTCGCCTTGGGCTTGGGGTTCGCCGACGGCGGCAGGCACACGTACAGGGCCTGGATGGGGTCCGTCTTGGTCTTGCCGTTGGCGCAGTTCTCCTTGTTGCCCGCGCAGTAGGCCTTGACGATGTCTTCTTCCTTGAAGTCTTTGGGTCTTTGGTCAGTGAAAAGCACAAGAGACAAGAGTGACAGTGACGGAAAAAAAAAAAAACTCACTCTGGTGGTCGCGCAGGATGTATCCGCAGTACGTAAAGCCTTGCCCGCAGATAGCGGGCCCGGCGGCAGACGACGCCGATGGTACCGAGGATGCAGCGGCCAGCGAGACTGATGACGGCGGCCCGGCCGTCCACGCCACCGACGCAGACGACACCGATATGGGCGTGGGCACGAGCGTCAGCGTCGTGCTCTGCGCGGCCGTCACGCGGAAAAGGGCCGCCGCCATGAGCCCGACGCAGGACTGCTTCATGGTTGGTTGCTAGCTTTGGGTTTGGCTTTTGGGTGTGGTACTGGAGAGGGCCCTGCTGCTATTCTCGTCACGTCAATATGACAGTTATTGTGCCGTCTATGCTGCCCCCTACCCCTGGAAAGCTCACCTTGGCTCTTTGGTCTCTTCTCTTCTACCTGGCCTCTGACCAGACAGGAAATGAATGGATTTATTTGGCTTGTCCTCTGGGTATCTCTGGTCGGATGTCTGGAGAGGCCAGAAAAGAAAATGGGCCACCCAGCCGGCGTCGTGTTATAAGCATGGCTCGACAAGGTTCCATGTTGGCCCAGCCCAGTCTAGTCCACGACTGCTCCAAGCACATCGCCACCGGATCGGCCGATGGCAACTCTACGGCCACAAAAGTCCTCACCCTCCAGCAGTCCAACACGGAGAGAGAGCAGGCGCGCAAAAGTCCCCTCCTTTTGCTTCTCACATCGAAGAAGAAACCATGACCCAGCCACGTCGTCGTCTGACATGGACGATGCCGGACATTTATTCCGGCAACAGCAAAGCAACAGGCAACAGGAAGCCTCACCAACACAAGCATGCCTTGTTTTTGAGACCAAAAAAACCGCCGACAAAGTCCCTGGCCTGTCTAGTCACCCCTGTACACAGACAGAACAAGGAAAATAGGAAGGAGAACGAGCAAATCGGTGATGCTCCGGAGCGGTGGGACGCGGACACGGACACGGCGGCGGCCAGGGATTTGTCATGGAAGCGAGCGTGCGTGTGTGTCTTGTCTGACAAGGGTTACCCTCCGTACACGAACCTACCAGGTGACTCTCTCTCTCTCTCTCTCTCTCTCTCCAGGCCAGGAACCGAGTCTGTCGCACGGTTCGGCTCCCACTCCCCGCTCCCCGCTCCCGTTCTGACAGACCACAGAACGGGGGCTTGGGAAGCACTGTTGAGTGTTGAATCCGCTGGCTCACACAGCAGCAATTGGAAGCGTCATGTGTGTGACCTGTCCTGAGGTGTCTTTCTTGGTTTTGTTTATCGACTCCGTTGAGGAGCGAGCCTCGACTGTTTTCAAGTCGATCAAAGCAAGACATGGCCTACGGCTTATACGGATCACTACTTAATTTTAGTGTGTGCGTGGTGACGGGTATAAGCCATTTCACTTTGGTGATAGATCTAACTGTGGAACTCTCTCCTAGGAGTAGACGAAAGACAACATAACACATCCATCACCATCGCCATATACACACAAAAGGGTACACGGGCTGTATTGTAACTTCATATACTTGATTTATTTTCGCTGCTAGTGCTATTTAGCTTGATCGATGACCAGTCTCTCGACTACTGTCTACCTACCTACCTACCTACCTACCTTGTCCATGACAGGTAAAACGACAGATCTGCAGTGGAAGCGAGTGGCAATTGCCAACCCGAAATGTCGCCTCCCTATCCTGTGCAACCGTCTTCGACGACGAACGAGAGTCTTGCAGCCGCACCAAGATTATCCAGACAGCAAATGCAGAGTATGTAGGTAACTACCCAGCTGAGAGAATGTTGAACCAACCACGTAGAAGAGAGGCTCGAAGGTGAAACCAACGCAATGCAAGACACCCAAGTGTGGAGTTCCGAGAGAGTTTCCACTCATCCACCGCATAAAAAAGGGAATACTCCTCCCATCCAGTATCAACAGATGCACCTCAGCACGAGGTGCAGGATCAACCCGGCGTCACTGGTTTAGTGGTAAAATCCATCGTTGCCATTCTGATATAACAACCAGAATTCGAGGGGCCCCGCGTTCGATAGGCCCCGCGTTCGATTCGCGGCTGACGCGGATCTTTTTTCTTTTTGCCTTCTTTTTGCCATTTTTTTGTATAAACAAACACCTTTCCTTACAGAGTGAGTACAAGTAAACAAATCTCAGGAAGGAGTGCAGTGTCAATAAATTTCCCTGTACTCAACAGGATTATTTGCCAATACCGACATAGCAAGTAAAAAGAGCCAAAAACAACAAGCACCTGATTGCTCCCCCTAATCGCCCCCAGAACACCAATATCGCCGTTTTTCCGACCCCCATGTGCCCCAGCCGCAGATAGTATGCATGCCCTGCGCCCTGATAAGACGAACATATCTTACACCCGACATCCCAGTGGCCTGTCCTCGACAGCCATGTATTATTGTACAATCATGAACCAGACAATACCAGGAGCTCGCCGTCCTACTCCCCCATCTCGCCTTCCTCAATCAACCGGCCCAAAATCAGGCTCTGGATGACTAGCTCATCGCTGAGCGTTCGAATCTTCTTGTTCGGCGGCTCATCGGCAGCAGCCGCAGCCGCGGCACTACCTCTCTTACGCTTCCTGGCATCACCTGGCCGTGACGCCGGGACAGCAAATATGTTCCCCTGCTCCGATTTGCCATCGGCATACACCCAGTTGAACGGCCGGCCCGCATCTTCGGCTGCCTTCATCTCCGCCTTTGCCTCGTCGGCGCTGTAGACGCGAGTCAGGGATGCACCCAGGACGCGCGCTAGGAACACGTAGGCCATCTTCTTGTTCTCCAGTGACTTCTTCATGACGAGAAGTACCCGACTTTCCTCGAGAAACTTGGTTCGCTGCCCAATGACGTCAACTAGACTGGCAGTCGAAGCATTGTACGACACCAAGGTTCGCGACCTGATGGCATCCCCGAGGAATGCCGACTGGCCCGCGCAGAGGAGGTATGGTGTCCAGTCGAGAAGCTCGTTCCGGTTTAGGCACGACGTGATCCAGCGACTTGCAATGCATGGCAACCCAAGTGCCAGCGCCTGGATGTATTTGACTTTGCGAGAGTGGCCATCTGCGATCAGTGCAGCAAATCCCGTCGATCTGCCCTCGGGCGTCAGGCTGATCTCGGGTTCTACCTGAGTCGATGTCGAGTTGCCAGTCACTGGCTTAGCTGGTAATACGTCAAACAGCTCATCGAACCCGTGCTCAAGGATCCTGCCGCCAGCCCCTTTGATCGCCTTTTCGATCGCGGCTGCCGACTCCATTCTGGTGTTAAAATGGTCGCTACTCTCGCCAGGTTTGCGGGACTGGAAGGATATTGCGAGTGCCATTCCTTCAAAGAGCTTCGTGCCACGCTGTGTTTGTTGGGGCTTGCCGACGGCCCGAAAAGTTTTTGACGCCGCCGAGGCCCGAGATCCACGGAGGCTGTGTTCAAAAGTAGGCGTCGTAGTCTGAGATCGCGACAGCTCATCCGGCGAGGCCGACCCTTGCTTCCCAATCCTAGCAGAATGTCTCAGATTTTCCACCGAGCCCATTTTCAACGCTGGCAATCTCTCATGGGTTGCACGTCGCTTATACTTGGCAACGGCTGGCGAAGAGTTAGATACCAAACCAGGACTAAGAGCCAACCTTGCTGGACCCGAGTCTTGCGTTGCTGGGGTAGTACTAGACGAGACGGCTGGCGTCGACCCAAGGTTACTCAGTGACGACGAGGTCGAGCCCGGCCCGCCATTTAATGTAGACGATGCCTTGGCCTTGTGGAATCTGGTACTTAATGCCGGCGGTGACGACTGAAAATTGGGTGTCGACTTCACTCTGAGCAGAGGACGGTCAGCTGGAGAAAGGTTGCTCTCTTCGGGAACCTCAAACCGCTCCTCTGGCGGGCTGGTCTCGGGTATGGCATCGCCGATGCCAGTATCCCGACTGCTCATATATGGCGTTGCTTCTATCGCCGGGCTCGGCATTGGTCTTGTAAGTGGTGGGGCCATGGCTGGCGTCCCGACCGTGTCCGACTCTGGACCTTCGTCTATTTCGGACTGAGTAGAGTCCGCATCATACCCGAATCGGCCATCATCAGGTTGCACACGGCGCTCCTGAGAGCCAGCAACAGTCTTCAGCCGAGTTGATTTCTCGTCAGATGACCGTGCCGTACGACGTCGAGTTGAATAAGAGGCTGGACCGTTCCTTGGCTTCCGCTTATTTGTTGAGGGAACTTCGATTTCATCTGGTTTCGTAACCCTCGAAGCCCGAGGAATGCTAATGTTAACAAGATTTTTGGAAGCAGCTTCCTTCTTGTTCTTCGCTTTGAGGCGTCTCGTAATAGACTCCTGATCATCGGCGTCGTCTCCTGAGCTGGGGCCATCAAGAGACAGCTGTGAATTTGAGCGCCTCTCCTGCGACTTGTGCATCGGCTCGTACGTGCCCATCGGCCCCGGGGCGGATTTCTTCGCGGGGGCCTCACAATGAGACGACTCAGGGATCACTGGGCCTTTTGTGGAGGCAGTCCGGACTGGGCTGCTAGTCACTTCACCGTCAAATCTAGGCGACGAAGTTGTGCCGGGTAGGACCTGTGGACTTGACGTGGCGTTGGGAACTGGTGACGAACGAAGACCTCGGGCTTTTAGAGGAGACGAGATAAAGACGTTGGGAGATATGGAGTTGTGCAGGAAGTCAGCGGGGGAGGGCCGCGATGAGGTTGGGCTGGCGAGCTTGACTGCCGAAGAAAACTGGGTGCCCCCAAACAGCTGCGAAGGCGCGAGAAGTTGAGACCGGCCTCCTAGACGAAAGGGGTTTTGAGGGGGAGCAGGTGTCTCTGGGAATGGCACATATGGGGAGGGCGCCTGGATCTGAGAGGTTGGGTTCCGTGGACGGGCGAAGTTCCCAAGGTCGACGAAACCCGAGTCATCCTGAGCCGGCGAGGTGGTCTTCTCCGCGGCTGTCGCTGGCGCGTTTTCAAAGTCAAGATGATCGGTGTCGGAGTGGTCATCTACATCCAGGGATGTCGGGTGGCCGCCAGGGCTGCTACGAAGGAGCCTCATAGGGTTCGTGTCATCGTTGGTGGCCGATGGACGACCAGGAGACGCAGTGCGAAAGTACTGATCGTAGCTGCGTTGGTCATACTGCTCGTAGCTGCGTCCGTCGTTGGACTGGGTTGGCGACTGAGAGGATTCCATCTTCCGGCACTTCTTGGCTGGGCGCGCAGGACCTGTTGATGAGCGGACATGTGCAACATCCTCTTTGTCGCCGTAGTCGTCGAATTTGCCGCTGTCGTGGTTGTCGCTGCAATATTCCGATTGCGGCACTGCACTGAATTGGCCGTCGCTCGATTCGCGATGCTTCGCGCCTCGACCTGAGCCCCGACTGGGACTGTGGCCTTGAGTCGCGGGGGGCGAGTTGCGGGTGATGGCATCACGCGTCTTCAATGCTGGTCAGTGCGGACCCCATGGTTATACGCAGCAGGGATTGTGCCTTGAATGAAATTGATTGATTGGGCTGACGAAGAGAAAAAAGCAAAGTGAAGACGGACGTACTAATTGAGACCCCGAACCCAGTGCAATTGCTTCATTGTTGGCGACAGGTCGATTTCCTGTACGTACCAAAAAGTCAGTAACATGATGCCAAGATAAAACATAATCACAGTAATAATGAAGCCAGCCGGCAGATATTCACCTTTCAGAGAAGTTACTGACGAGACAGACGCAGCATGGTCTTGCGTTTGGGCGGGCAGAGCCACAGCCTCATCATCTTCGTCGGGTTCGGTGAAGTGGTCGTTCTACTCTCACACAGTGCCCGTCACTTGTGGTTAGCACAGCTCATTGAAGGTCCAATGGCAATTGCTGGAGAGGGGGGGTTTCGACGACGCCACCTCGTCGTTTCGGCGCAGGGTAGACTCACCATGCTGGCACCCATGCTGACACGGCTCCAATACGTTTTGAGGATCTTCTGGCTGTCTTGGGTTTCCAAGTTCCATTCATCAGGCGCCGTGTTCTCATCACTCTTGCGGAGGCTGCTGCTCAACCTGACCATTCTGGGCGACAGGCGGCTGGTAGCTTGCGGCATGGAGTATTCTGTAGTGTCGACGTTTAAGGTATGGACCCGGTGAGGTGCCGCCGATAAAGGTAAAACACCTTATTACTCTTGACGTTGAAATTTGTCTGGTCAAACCCCATTCAATTTTACCTTTTGCCTTTCGTGACAGCTGCGTGTGGTCGCACGGTGGCTATCATCAGAACGGTGCGGAACGGGGCAGGCGCGACTAATACACGCTGTCACGTGTACGCTTTAGCTGTTCGCTGAAGGTACGTACTGCTCATACATCCACAACACGGAGCTGGGCTCAATTTCCGAAAACCTGGGGCATAAATTACAAGGGTCCTGTTTCTAGAACACCAGTACCAATCTTTTGCACACCTGCTCACTGAACGTCGGCTTCTATCCGTAGATCTGCCCAGCTTTCAGTTTACACGTAGATTGTTTACCGGGTTGTTTCAGATTGAGAAGAGCAACGAAAACACGCCGTCATGTCATGACCATCTGCTGAACTCGCGTGGCTGATTGATGGATTCGGCCAAGCACGCCGCCCGGTGCCCCTAGCGCATTTATACTAGTACGGTATTTACGCTGCATGCAGGGCCATCGCAATGTCTCGCTCACCGCCTAGGTACGCCACTGTTCAAGCTACTGAGGCCCCCCTGAGAATTGCTTTTGCGGACCCCATCGTGGAATCGGAATTGGTTTCGCCGCGACACCTCGTGATGGTCCCTGCGGGTTTCCATGGCACTGTGAGCAGCAGGCTTGAGGCAAGGATCTCTGGCGGAGCAGCAACAATCGAAATGAGAGTCGCACCCCGAGACTCGTAATAGTACTTGTAATAACAGCTCCGTCCGAGACCTCTTGACGGAACGAACTCCTTCCAAGAAATTCTTCGTTTTCGCCTGCTTGCATGCTTCTTTCTTCTTGAATAACAGCCTGACCAACAGAGGCAACAACTGAATTATTTCTCTTTCTCGCTGCTCAATTAAGGGGTTGCTAGATACGCCCTGTCTACTTCGTACTTCCCAGGAGGTAC